GTAAAACCATCATATATTCGTGAGTTTCTGGATCTATTGTAATCCCATAAAGATAGGTTGATGTTGTTCCATCATTAGTTTTCAAGAGAATTGCCATCTAAATAAAATTTTTTAAATTATAATTAATATATTATATATTTTCAAATAAATTAAAAATATTACTTTACCTCATTTAAAAAATCCTCGTTTATATCTACAATACTATCAAATTTTTTTAATACCACTTCAAGTTGACCAGATCTAGTCCATTGTTGATTTTCAATATCCCAATTATGAACACCCACGTAGCATAATAAATAGTACCATAACCACCTTTTGCTATTTGTTTAATGTCTTGAAATCTATCATAAGATATTTATAAAAATCAGTATTTAATTGAGTATCTTGAATAAATTTATTTATTGTATCATTTCCGCTTGTCCATTTATCAAAATCATTTTTGAGATGCACGATTTGCACCACCAAGGCGCGTTGTATTTTTCATTGCATTCTGGGCATTCAGGCATTTTCTGTTCGCTTATAATACGTAAGATGGAAGTTTATCTTTAATTATATTTTTCAATAGGAGTTGTTATTCAACATGACCGAAATTAGCAACTTTAGGAATTTTCTAGTTAAACAGGTATAACATCACGCCAAATCAACTTTCATAATTCCTTGATCCCACGTAAATTTAATTTTGCCTAACCTGTGGTGATATTTAGCAATTTTCTTAAAAAATTATTAAATATTTATTTTTAATCAATTTTGCTTTATTTAGTGATGATGATGGTAATTTAAGTATTTTAGAGTATATTTATATTAATATTTCAAAGTGTATATATTTTATAGAGATGAAACTGATAAAAAAAAATGAATCGATTAAATGAATATGGCACTAAGTCAATATTGGTTTTATCAGTTGAATCTGATTTGTCTGTTGAACGATCTTCATCATCAGAAGGTAAAGAATCTCTTCGTATGAAATATAATTGAAATGTACCAATGTAAACTTTTTGATAAACCATTTTTATTGTCCTTAGCAATACTAATATGATCATATTAATGTATGACGTATATTACAATATACATTTTAATAATTTAATTATTTGTCAGACATAACTGCCACTATATTAATATTCAGTAAGCATTTTAAAATTATAACATAAAAAAATGAAATAAGGTTCTCCCGATATTTTTAAAAAAGGCTTATCATATTTTTCTATAATTAATAATAAAAAAAAATAAATGAATAAAGAGATTGATATTAGATAAGATTCTCAATAATCATTTTTAACAAATAAGTCCATTTAAGTATATTTTGGTATAAAAGTATCGACGACTGAAGCGTTCCTTGAGTTACTATCTAAAAGTGAATTTTATTAATAACAAAAAAAAAGGATTATCAATTATCTATATATTAAAAGCTTTCTTCGAATAACATATATTACAATATCATAACCTAAACATGTAAACATTAATAGAGCAGCAAGTCAGTCAAATCAAGTTGTTTATTGTCATTGTTTTCCAATAAAAATAAGACAATTTTAAAATACCTAATCAAGATGAAAAATAAAAAATACTAAATTTTAAACATAAGATTCATTTATTGAATCTAGTTAAATCTACATTTTTTTTTTTTTTAATTTGACAAATTCAATTGATTAATGGCACTTTCATTATCTTTTTTTTGCTTACATGTTATCTTTTTATTAATCTATTATTACTTTAAATCTTGACATTACTTGTTATTACCTGTCATTACTTTTTATTGCTTGTTTCATATCTGAAATTCCCTCTTTTCTCTTCACAAAAAAGGTCCATTTCTTAATAAAAATTTGCTTTTGAAAATCTTATACTTCAAATTGTTATTCCATTAATACAATAAAAAAAAAAATAATAAATGAAGAAACTAATATTCTATATTCGAAGCAAAATATAATTTCAAAATAAATCTTTATTTGAAATCAAAATGATATGATATAGTGAGTAAGTTGATTATTGATAAAAATTTATTAGACATTTTTGCCAAATAAAAATACAGAGCTCTTAAGATTAGAATCTTCAAATCTCAAATCTCCACATGATATAAATATATTAAATATACAATAAACGAGGTATTTAAATGTACGTTATGCGTGTTGTCAGGTCATAAGACAATACGAAATTTATTATTTACATCATAAGATGTCCAATTATAGAATACAATGCATGTATTTAGATTCCTATAGAACTCATGTGAGTTATTTGTGTATGTTCATTGATCTTTTCTTTAAATTTTTAAATACACAAGGGTTCGTGCATTGTGCTTTTATGTTCTTGCTATTTCTTAAAAAGAAAAAAAATTCTTTTAAAATAAATATTCAAATTTGGTAAGAATTTGTAATGGTATCATTTTATTTTCCTAGTGGTGATAAGATGATAAGATGTGGGGTATGCAGGATGTATAATGTTCTTGAAACGAAACCTGAATTTAATTTTAAACAAAACGTCTCCTGACATCTGTATATGCATAGCTGGCTCGTGCTTTGATGTTCTTGTTATTTCTCAAATTTAGTAAAAATTTAATTTGAAATGGTATCATTTTGTTTCCTAGTGATGATAAGATGGTACAATGTGGGATATGCTGCAAAACCTGAATTTCAATTTTAAACAAAACGTCTTCTGATCTGCACAATGGCGTAAGGCTCGTGCTTTTATGCTCAAAAAGAAATATATATAATGAAATTTAGTAAGAATTTGTAATGGTATCAGGAATATCATTTTTTTTTGTTGATATATTTTAATGGAACTTTCCTAGTATTGATGTATTGATAGGAGGATACGATGTGGGTATGCAGGATGAATAGCACTCTTTAACCAAACCTGAATTTAATTTTTAAACAAAACGTCTCCTGACATTTGTATCTGCAAATGCACAATGGAACAATGCTCACGCTCAAAAAAAAAAAAAAAAAAATTCAAAATTTAGTAAGAATTTGCATGGTATGTCGGAAAGGTCCATTAAAATATAATGATATCCCTGATACGATTTAACCAAACCTGAATTTAATTTTAAACAATATCTGTTCTTTTTGTTTTGGTCTGTGCAATTAAGACTGGATAAATATGACATTGGCGTACACTATGAAAATTTTTAAGTGAAATCATTGAAATTCATTTTATTTTATTCATGATTGAAAAATTATTATACGTATTTTATTTAAATGATTGACAACAAGCATAAATATACTCGATGACCCATTTTGACTAAAAAAAAAAACTCAATACTAAATTAATAATCTTAAATAGCCTTAAATAATTTTAATTTAAATATTAGACCTCTTTATAAATGGGTTGTTTCGTGAATAAAAGACTTATAATAATGTGTTAATAATACTAATTCTAACAATGCTGTAATGTTAATTATTTTATAGATATCGCGCCAATTTCAAAAGTTAATCATTTTCAGATGCGTAATATTGCTACCGAAATTAATAAAAAAATAAATAAAAAGAAAGATCAATTAATCTGATTTTTTTTTCTTTGAGTTGCAGGTTTAATCAGTGATAATTTTATATTGTGTAGTTGTATCCGATTCTTCTTTTCTTCTAATGATTGGGATTTGAATTAATAATAAGCTGAAGCTGATCCTTCATTCAATATAGAAGCAAAAAGATTCACAGGCGTATTATCTCCTTCGTGTACAATCGGGTTTTCTTCTGTAGGAAGTGGTCTATTACACAACATTGTCTCCGCCTCTTCTAATGACCTAGGTGTTGGCAAGTTTATAAGTTCGAGTTGTAAACG